GTGGCACAACGGTAGCACAAGACTCTGTAAGGCTGGAGAGCCACACAGAAGACCGAGGTTCTGTTCCCAGGGTGACCTATACACAGCAGATGCGTGCGTGCTTGTCCCTGGTCCCAGCTGGCTGGAAGGATGAGGGAGGGAAAAGAGAGCACACTGAGTGAGACCCTGTCATGGAAACTTGTCTGTCTCTCTGTTTCTTGTAAAGGAAGTAAATAAAGAAACTTAAAAAAGAAAGAAAGCTTGGCAGGCTATGTTGACATCAGGTTACAAACAAAAAGACCAACAGCAAACATCATATTTAATGGTGAAATAGCAAAACCTTTTTCTCCCAGGTCAGGAACAAGACAATAATTAATGCCCATGTTCAATGTGCTATTCAGCACTGTACTTGTGATCACCCAAAAAAGCAAAAATAAATAAATGGCATAGAGGGACCAGCAGTTAGCATAATGGCTATGTTGCTGGACTCCCACGTAGTCGACCGTGGTTCGAGTCCCAGAACTGGTGGCTTAAACTCACTCTGGGCATGTGTGCGTGCGCCCGAGATCCCAAGAGGAGAATGGAGAAGGGATTGCGGCGTGGCCATCCCCCCTGGGGGGTGATTTCTCGCTTTCTGTCTCTCTGTCTCTCTCTGTCTGTCTGGTGAGTGCACGCCCCCTATAGCAAAAACCTCTCAAAAAAAAAAAAAAGAAAGAAAGAAAGAGATGGCATAGAGATCAGAAAGTAAAGAGTAAATCTGTTTGGCGGACAACACAATGTTTGTAGAAAATTCAAGAGAACTAACAAATCAGAATTTAGTATGGTTGCGGTATATGAGTATATTTCTAAACACCAATAACCAATCATTGTAAGACAAAATTACAATATATCATTTACAATAGCATTAAAAATACCAAATACCTAACAGTAAGTTTAATGAACTCTGAAAACTTACACAAATAATTATAAAACACTGATAAGAGAAATTAAAATAGGAAGTCAGAGAGATGTCTCGTTCGTGTGTTAGCGACTCAACACTGTTAAAAGGTCAGCATTCTAAACTGACGTATAGACTCAAAAACACGTAAACTAATAAACTGACTCTGAAATGGAAACGATCGGACCTAAAATGGCCAGTATAACCTTGAAGAACAAAGTTAAAGATGTACCCTACCAGGTTCGAGGGTTAGGACAGCTCAGACAGCGGGGAGCTGGTGGAAGGAGACACAACTAGGTCACTGGAGTGGAAGAGCCCAAGACGGGCCCTTCCGGTATGTGGTCGGCTGTTTTCTACGCATGTGCCAGGTGCCGCCCCGGCAATTCCGCAGGAAGGAGAGCTCTTCCACACATGTGCTGGAGGAGCTCACTATCTGATGGAAAAGAGTGAGCCCTGACCCCAGTCTTACACCGTGAGCAAACTTCCAGATGGGCCCCAGACTTCCACGTAAAAGCCCAAACTAAAAAACGTCTCAAAGAAAACAATATCTTCAAGACTTTGGAATAGACAGAGACACAAAGGGATTAGCCTGCCAGAAATGGGTGATAAATGGTACTTAATCAAAATAAAAAAAACTCTCATTGGGGCCAGCAGGTGGCGTGGTCGCTGGGAATGCTGGACTCCCACATGGCTGAATGTGGTTCAAGTCCTGGACCTGGTGGCTTGCTTTCAATTTCCCTCTCTCTGGTCAAATTAAAATAAAGAAAAAGAAATGAAATGAAATAATTCTTTAAAAAAAATAAAAACTTCTCATCAGAAAGGTGTTAAGAAAGTGAAAAGGCATGCCATAGACTATGAAAAAACATCCACGGAACACAAACATCTGACAAGAATCTGATGCAGATTATATAAGAAGCTCACACAAACCAGCACTAGAAAAATAAGTAGACCAAGTAAAATGCAGAAAAAATCTTGAAGGGTACTTGGCTTCGCAACAGAGAAGCTCGGAATGCCCAAGACATGCAGGGAAAGGTGCCTAACCTTCCTTGTTATCAGAAATCACAAATTAAAAATAAAAATGAGGTATCATTAAATCCTGCTGGAATGGCTAAATCCTGGAGGGCAACACCACCAAGTGTTGGCAAGCACACGGAACTGCTAGAACCCTCCTACACTGCTGACAGCGCAAAGCCAGACAGCAGTTCTAAGAGCTGCTTAGCAATGTCTTCCACAAAGCCTGCTCTGTGACTCAGAAATTCCACTCTCGGTTATGTATAAATCCAGGAGAAACGAGTATCATGTGCACAAAAACTTGTACAAACATGTTCAGAGCAGCTTTACTCATAATAAATAGGCTGGATAATGGACTGCAGAGTACTCATACAGCGGAATCCTAGTCATCTACGAGGGAGTACTAAACGTGGTAAAAATATGGATGGAACCCAAAAGCATTATGCTGACCAAAAGAGCCCGGACATACGGGTTACCTACTGTCACGACTGTTTCAGCAGAACTGAGAAGCCTAACCTACAGTCTAGAAACAGAAACACGGGTGACCACGGGCCAAGCGCAGGGCTTTGACTAGAAATGGCATGAGTGACTGTTTAGGGAAGGGAACTGGGCTGTATCAACCCAGGTGGCTGTTAAAGGGAAAAAAGTCTCCAGTATGCGTGTGAAATAGTATATTTTGGAGAAGAGGGAAGGAGGGAGAGAGCAAGGAAAGAATAAAGGCAAGAACGAGATATAAGCTGCGGGTTCGAGAGCCAACAAAGCAGCTGTGCGGACCCGAGTCACGTGAATCGCTCGCTACTTACAAGTGCACACAGTCACCGTGTGACAACTGTGGGATTTATCATGCACAGTCCATACCAAGAGCAACCGGGTAACTAGGGAGGAGGGAGTCCCTGGGAGGGGTGCGAGGGGCTGGTGCCCAGTGCCCAGGGCCTTCAGAGAGAAGCACTCTGCTTGAGGAGTACCAGATGGGCAGCAAGGGATGGAGGTCAGGGCCATCCATGATGTGGTGACCAGGGCATCAGAGGAGCCCCTGGAGGGCAGAATCCACCCTGCTCAGCTCCCAAGAAGGCAAAGGGGCTAGGAGCTCTTTATTCTTTTCTTTTTTTTTTGGAAAAGTTTTTGCTATAGGGCGTGTGTACTCGCCAGAGAGACAGAGACAGAAAGTGAGAAATCACTCCCCAGGGGGGATGGCCACGCCGCAATCCCTTCTCCTCCATTCTCCTCTTGGGATCTTGGGCACGCATGCACATGTGCCTGGCGTGAGTTTAAGCCACCAGGTCTGGGACTGGAACCGCGGTCGACTACATGGGAGTTCAGCGACATAGCCATTACGCTAACTGCTGGTCCCAAGGGCTAGGAGCTCTTTATCCCAGGACTCCAAAGGAGCTCTGACCTGGATGCAGTGGGGTCACAAAACAGCAAAGCAGAGAAGAACACCCTGTGGGTCAGAAGAAAAGTAGCCAGACAAGGAGATCCCACAGGATGTGGCTGGACCCATGGGTGCAGGGCAGGGGCACCCTGCAGGCAAGTGACACAGAAAGGCCACACATCCCTACAGCCCCCATGGACTTACTCTTCCTGAAAGGATGTTAACAATGAAATTGGGGGCTAGAGACACCCCTGGGCATCCTGAGGCCATCAAGGGAAGAATGGGTTGACCTGCTAGAGGTGAGGGCCCAAGGAACAGGGAAACTGAGGCCCTAGCCATCCACCCCTGACAATCCAGCCAACCACATCCCCTCCCCCATCTGCCTTCCTCTGGTCCTTCAACGAATCATGTGGGCCAGGGCCCAGGGCTGGGACCCGAGGTGGGAGGTGCCGTCCCAGCCCTCAGACTGGTTGGGTGGTGGGGGAGGGCGTTCTCAGGGCTCTGGCTAACCCTGGTGCCCGTGCGTGAATGTCCTGCAGGACAACGAAAGTCACGTCCCGTGAGAGACAACCCGCGTCCTATACGTGTCTGTGGCTTGTGCTCTTACACAAATACAGGTAGACCCTTGCCACTAAGATAACCCAAACATCCCCCAAGTTCCCCAGATGCCAGTGGGGTGGGGACAGGCAGGAGGTGGGCAGAGGTGGGAGTGGAGGTGGTGGCAGTGGGGCAGCAGGAGAATATCCAGGAGGCAGGCCATGACGGGGCGGACCACCACAGGTGAGTGAATTACTGCGCCTTCCACCCGAGGCCATTCCTGGTGGACAGAGCAGGCAGTTCTCGGGGAGTCCGCATTGTGGGAGAGATGATCAACAAGCAAGGGGGCCGTGGAGGTCCCTGATGGTATGGTATTCTGAGAAAAGGGACCCAGTCCCCCACTCCATCCTGTGCCTGAACCCTCCAAGTCCTTCCCACTCCCGCCCTCTGTACCTGTTGCCCCTTGCCCTCATTGGGGTCCCACTCTCACCCGTTCTCCCAGCTTCATTTCCCTCAGGACACACTACTCCTAGGATCACACACTTGTGTGCACACACCACACACATACACATCGGCTCATTAGCTTCATCCTGGGGCCCGGCTCTGTGGGCCCTGCTCGCTGCTGCACGTGGGAGCCAGGTGGTGCCAGCCTAGGACAGGCCCCCCGCACAGCAAGTGAGCGAGAGGGTGAGTGAGTGGACGTGGGAGGGAGGATACCCCAGGAACCACCTGAGGGCAGGCCCAAGAACATCAGGTGGCTGCTGGTGACAAGTGAGTGAGTGGGAGGTGGCCCTAGGTCCTTACCTGATGGCAGTGTCTACCGAGAGGCTCCAGGAGCTGAGGGATGAGCACACGCAGGACTGTTTGGCATATGGGCCCACAAGCATGCCCATGTGTGAGACTGCATGCCCATGTGATGCCCGTGTGTGCCCACAGGGTGTGTGTGAGTGAGCCTGTGTGACGTCCATGTGTGTAAGGCACACACGGGTGTTCCCATGCTCCTGACCTGTGTGTCTTTCTCCCCAGTTTTGTCCCAGGTCGGGGACTGACTCGTAGCCACAACCTAAGCCCCAGGCCTCCTCTTCTCCCGAGCACGCGCTGAAGGGCAGGGACAACCAGCGCTGGGTTGGGCCATGTGCGCTGAGCCGCGGCCGGCTAACGCACCTAGTCCGATGATGCCCAAGGTCTCCCCACGGATCCTGGCGGCTCCGGAAGCCACTTCCCGGATCTGCTCGACACTCTGGACTCGAGTGCCCTCCCGCAGTGCCTGGGGCAGCCCGGTGGTCCGCCGGGAC